GATGGATTTCCAGTTCCCAACACCGTGCTAATACAATAGTCAGCTGAATCATCCAAATGATGATATTGAATCTCACTGACCTTATTGCAGCCATCGTGCAGCATCTTGGTCTCCTCAATGGTCCACTTCTTTCGGGCCTTCTTCTTGACAGTCCCATCTCCATTCGCATTTCCACTCGCATTTCCACCCTCTGGGTTGATACGGTCCTGGGAGCTTGAGCTGAGGGCCTCCAGGGAGCTATCTCGTTCTTCTATTTTCATCGAGATGCCCTTACCGAACCCATTACGTGATTCATTCTCCTTGTTATTCGTCCCCAAACCAGCAAAGGTGCTTGTTTGGGGTTGGGCTGATCTGAGAATGTTACTGAGACTGCCATGGCCATTCAAGACCGATCCTAGTTCATGATAGTCGCCATTGAGATGAGAGTTTGCTGGATTGGTAGTTTGGAGCTGGGAATAGATGCCCATTTCATCTCTGAATCGTAACAGCTCGCCGTGCGCCAAGGACTCGTCCAGCGTTCCGCTAGGCGAGAGGTGATGCTGAGAGGGAAGCGACTGTCTTCGCGCTTTCGCTCGAGGAGTGCCTTCCATGATGACAATGAACTGATCCTGAAAAGTATACTCTGAGAGATACTAATTCCGAGCCTCTGGGCCTCTGTTGAGATCTGGCTTATGTGGTCAGCGCGTACGCTCGCTTACTATGTTTGCAAATGCTGCGACGAGGCTTACTTGGGTCGAGAGCGGGGTCCTTTACCTACGTATAAACGAGTGAGTTCTTCAGAGTCGTGAATAGTCTGCTTTGGGTCGTTCTGCGATCGTGCTCGAACGTCTCTGGGGACGCCAACGGTCGTGTGCTTGGGAGATGGGCGAATGGGCTGCGCCAGCGAACACGGTTGGGACGAGAAAGACAGAACCCGCAAACAGTGCGAACAAGATTTCGCTATCGTCTGGGGGGTTGGGCCTCGACGGAAGGCTAGAGTAGAATGTTGGTACGATGAAGGTCGAGTCGAAGAATTCAGGGACAGGGACACGGCAAAGCTCGACTCTTTTTTTCCTTTACGTTGGGCCAGCCACATTAAACCACTCGCATCATATCACTCTCTCAACAGGCGTAACGTATTTAGAACAGGGGAGGCTCGAATACATCATTCTTACGTCT